AAGGGGGAGGGAGGGAGGGAGGGAGGAAGGGAGGGAGGGAGAGAGAGAGAGAGAGAGAGAGAGAGAGAGAGAGAGAGAGAGAGAGAAACATCAATGATGAAAGAGAATCATTGATCGGCTGTCTCCTGCACGCCCCCTACTGTGGATGAGCCTGCAATCTGGGCATGTGCCCTTGACCGGAATCAAACCCAGGACCCTCCAGTCCTTAGGCTGAAGCTCTATCCACTGAGCCAAACCAGCTAGGGCAATATATTTTTTAAAAATCAAGATGAATAATATCTTCTAGCTGTCTTGCTCAATTTTATTTAATTATTGATACCCTGCAATATTTGTTTAGGCCAGCAACAAATTGTTTTACTTAAAGATGTGAATTTTATGTTATTAGAACTTCAGGTTGAAGCACAGTGATCAGCAACTTGGAAGTGTTTAGATTTGACCAACGACATGGAGATGGTTGCTCTAAGTTAGAAAGAACTGGAAGAATCATATTTTCCCACCAGTGCAGAGCTCCAAGAGTCAGAATATAACATACTGTAATCAGCAGGATTAAAAAATGTTAATCATGAGTTACTTCTTTGCTAGAGGTAGTTTTGAAAATAAAGTTTAAAAAGGTTTGTGCCTAATTGTGTGGCTGGCCTAAATGGATTTGGAGGCACTTATGTGACTGTAATCACAGTTGAAATTATTTTCCAATTCAGGCAAAGGGGTTTGTCTCTATTTAAACATTTGGAATGATCTTACTCATCAAATATGTTAAAGGTTGATTACAATTGTTGACTGATTTAATCAGCAAAGCAAGCCCTTTTTATCTTAAAAGAACCTTTCCTAGTGATTATTTGAAAAAGTCGTCTGTAGCATTTTTAATATTTCTTTTTACAAGAGCAGATATATACACAAGATATGAAATTGGCAGTATAGAGGGAAAAGTATAAGGAAGAAAATGGAAATCACTCCAGAATCTCACTACCTTGAGATGATCTCTTTTAATAGTTTATTTTTGATAGTAAGAGTAACATTTATCTTAGCATTCTAGTTTGGGTTCTCCCAGAAACAGACCCTAAGCTAAGGATTTCAGTACAAGTGATTCATTATGGTAGCTCCCAGGAGAACCAGTGCAAGAGGGTGGGGGATGCAGGAGAGGGAAGGGCAAGAAACTGAGCATGGGGGGAGTTTGGGTGAAAGGGCAGACAGTCCCTGATCCCTTGAGGTAACAGGATTATACTCCAGCTATTGTCTCTCCTCCGGGTAAAGAGCCTCCCATGCTTGTTACTCACTGGCTTTGGGCCTTGGAAGTGGGAGATGTAGAACTTATAGGTAACTCTGGCTCTCTGCAGGGGCAACCTTCTGAGGGCGGCAGGGATGAGCCAGGAGCAGCGAAGCATTCAGAAGCTGGGGGATGAGCACCCAGAACTGATCAAAGAGGTCCCACAGTGTCCACTCCTGTTATTTATGTAAAGAGGCAGTAGGAAATGAATAAATATATTAATACTAATGCCCCAGTGCACAGATTTGTGCACATTGAAAGGAAATTAATTAGAAGGTGGCAGGTGGGATGGGACTGGGCAAGAGGGGCCAGACACACCCTGGAGCCAACCTCCGGCAGTCCCTCCCTGGCCAGCCCCAAGGGCTCCCAGATTGTGAGAGGGTGGTTCTCAGGTGATGCACCCCAGAATTGGGCTCCCTCCTCTCTGGTTCTGGGGTGCGTCACCCGAGACCCGCAGCTGCCAAGTCACCGTAGCTTGGCAGCTCCTGCATTGAGCATCTGCCCCCTGGTGGTCATTGAACATCATAGCTACCAGTAGGACAGTCGCTTAGCCTTTTATATATATAGATTGAAGGATAGAAGTAGAGGCCATAGTGGTAAATAATTAAGCATTGTGTTTTTCTTTGCAGTTAGCTTGTGCTCCTAATAGTACGGTCACTCACTTCCAGTGGCTTGTAATAACTGGTTTGATTCCCTGTTGCAGAAAGGAAGGTCCATCTGCTAGGCACACTAGCCTTAAGACTGGTGCTAACTCTTGAGGCTGCGTGCCACCTGGCTTGGCCTAGTTTGAGACACAATAGAATGTAGCTGAAAAGGTGAACTGAGGGTGATTAGCAGAATCAGTTCTCAGATCTTAGGGCCTGCTATAAGAGATCTAGCTGCCTTTGGGCAGATCAAGTATAAAGAACAAAGGGGAAGAAAGAAAAGACATCCAAGGAAAGCTAGAGGCTGAACTGTCTGGGCTGAGGATGATATGAAAAGCCAAGAAGCCATGGCACAAATTATTTTTATGATGAGTAGTTGGAAATTAAATTTATATTTGACATTTAAAGTTATGTTTATGTTCTTACTAAGAATGGATGTGTGTGATGAATGGGAGTTCCTGCCCAACCAGTGAATGGTGGGGCCACTGGCATGATAGAGTCTCTGGAGATGGAAAACTCAGTGTCTTCCTCATCCCTCTTGGCTCCCAGCTCTGTCCTGTTCTCTCATATTTGTTGGCCTTAAATGAGACTCTTGCTTGAGCTTGCTTTTTGGTTGACTTAAACATCCTCTTAAGAATGGAACAGAGTAAAGTATATGATTATCTAACCACTATGCTGTACACCTGAAACTAATACAAAATAATATTGAATGTCAACTGTAAGTGAAAAATAAAATAAAATACAAGTGAGAATATGCTATACTTATAAAAAAGAAGAAAAACTGAACATTTAAGAAAAGGGACTCTCAAACCCTTTTTTATAATAATTAATGGACTAATTTTTAAAATTCAGAGCAAATCTAAATACAGGTACTCATAATACCTACCTTTGTTGAAGTGAGGTCATAAAGATTCACCTGCTGAATATTTCAAATTTTATTGTGATTTTATTTATAGCTAGGGAAAAATCTAGCACTCATGTCAACAACCCTCTTCAGTTCTTTCTTACCTGTATACCTTGCCTCTTCCTCTGTTTCTTCTTGCTGGGAAAGTATTTTCTTCCTTTTTTTATTCCATTATTCAAGTTCCCTGGAATGTGGCATCTTCATAATTTCTCCACACCTGGTCAGAATTAATTGTTCTCCCATGGCACATTATCAAACCTTAATTAGATCACATTTTTAAGGACTTACTGTAATGTATTATGGTTTCTGGATTAAGGTGTTTTTTTTTTAAATTTTTCTTTTTCTCTCAAACTGTGAGCTGATCAAGGGCAAGGAAGATGCCTTATTTATCTTTGGGTCCACAGTGATGTGGTAGATAACTGAAATGGCTCATAGAAGCTCGTGTGAGCTCATTGTACATTCCTTCCCCCTTTGTGTTCAGTGATTTCAGGTTGGTAGTTAAAAATCTGCCACCATCAGGGTATTTGCACCACAGAAATCAGCAAATACTACAAATGAGGGCTCCCTCACTTGCCCAATAGTTGATTGTTACAATTTCTCAGCACACCATCTTCAGTGACCTTCTGTGACAGAGACTACTAGACTCAAATATGTTTGTTGAAATTGAGGCTCTTTTGGCATAGAAAGGGACATGTATCTTCCCCTCCAGGAAACTCATCAGTTTAATTTGAGACTTTGTCATGATTGTGGAATTCTTGGGAGTACTGTTAATTATGGTAGCTGGTTATCACTGCAGGCCGTTAAACATAATGAACAGTTTTGTTTCCCTATTATTTGACTTCCAGGGTGGAGTTTTAGTGAAAATTACAGAAGCATGCCCTCCTTTGAACTGCTCAGAGAAGGATCACATTCTCCCAGAGAGTCAGTGCTGTAGTGTTTGTCGAGGTAAGAGGGCTTGGTGGCGGGCCTGGGCTTGGGCTGAGGGTACAAGTAGCTTTGGGGACATCAGGGTTGAGTGAATTGTGTGATGATAATAGCACAAGTGCTGAAAGTCTGCTCTGCTACTTAGAAACATATCCTAATGACCTTTCTCAGTCCTAGTATCCTTAATTGTAAAGTGAGGATAATGGCAGCATCTCCTTCTTAGGACTATTGTGAGGATTAAATGCGATAAGGCATAAGCATCTAGCATCGTGCCTAGCATGTGATAAGTCTTCAATACACAGTAGTTCCTATGATAATGATAATGATCCTGCAATAATGACCATCATCATCATTATTATTACACTAGAGACCCGATGCATGAAATTCTTGCAAGAGTAGCCTTCCTTCCCCTGGGCTGCCGGCTCTGGCTTCCCTCTGGCATCCGGGACCTGGGCTTCTGGCTGCAGGCAGGCAACCGGGACCCGGGCTTCGCTCACAGCCCCGGCTTCGTCCGGAAGGATGTCTGGTCTAATTAGCATATTACGCTTTTATTATTATAGATATTTCTCATGACTGAGATTGGAAGCATTTTTTTCAGCCCTTTCCATGGGTCAATTCCCATATCCAACAGAGGATGACTTATAGTAAATCCTTACTCATGGATTTACATATAACATTTATATTTCCTGTAAGGAGAAGCAGTTCAGGTAAGTAATACCTAATTGCTAATTAATTCTTGGGGAGAAATTGGTTTGCCTTCTCTTCTTGAAATTACCTTCTTTCCAAAATTTACTCTTATATATCAAACCCCTGCTCAAATATCACTTCCTATCTGAAACTTCTCACCCAGGCAGAATTACATGAGGAGGTCTAATTAGGAGGTTAGGAGAACCTTAAATTTAATTGAAACCTTAAAAACAAACCCAGTTAAACTGGCAGCTATTGTTTCAAAAGCCTACCCACTACAAATCCTGTACCACATCCTCAAATAGTCAGGGAGCTAGATCCCTTTTGGCTTACTTCAAAGCTTCTATAGTTAAGAAAAATCAGCAGCATAGCAGATTAGCTCATTTAACCTCATATTTTACTTTTTAAAAATCTTTTCTTCAGTACAGCATTGGCATATAGTATTTCCTGTAAAGGGCCACAAAGTAAATATTCTAGGTTTTGCAGGACCAGAAGTTTTTTTTTTTTTTTATTGCATCTACTTACCTCTGCTGTTGTATTACAAAAGCAGTTCAGCCAATAGGTAAATGAATAAAGGAGTGTGGCTATGTTCCAGTACAAATTTATTTAAAAACCCAGGTGGCAGCCCACAATGTGCTGGCCCCTCCGCTAGCACCTTCTGACACATAAAAATGTTGTATTTGATGGTGGAGTGTTTTCAGCTGAGGCTGCACTTTCTCTCTGTGGTTGGTCATGAGAGAGCAGTATTTTGGAAACATTCCTGGGATACCTTGGGATGTTGATAAGCATGAATGGCTCTTAGAATCAAGAACATGATAACCATGCCCTCAGAGCATCTTCCGTTATTTCTCTGCTTTCAAGGTTACTAGCGTATTTGCCACTAGGATGCTTTAGAAAGACCTTGCAATTGATGGAATTTTCTGAGGGATGCATTTATTGGGAACTGATACGGTTGCTAGGGAGGTCTTGCAGTTTAATGCAAAATCCATCAGCTGCTATTTGTTGAAGTGCCAAGTGGGACTCAGTTTATTTAAATCTTTTCTGATGTATGGTTTCATTAGAGCAGAATCATTGATTATCCCACAGAAATTCAAGAGGACTTTCATTGCTCTGACCCATTCACAATGGACCAGGTGTTCCTGCTTCTGCTAGCACTTGTACAAGTGCATGTGCTTCTTCACCAATGAAGATGCTGAGAGACATGACATTTCATTAAACACCAGACTCATGCAAGGCTCTCCTTGCTGGCAACCTGGTGGCTTTCGCTGAACCTGACTCAGCTTGAGGGAACGTGGGAGGCAGGCAAAGGGCTTCAGAGATGAGATCATAGCCAGGGCTAATCTATGACATTGAGGATTTTCTTCTTTTTCCTTCCTTCTCAGCCAGGAAGCTACCAACTCTTTTTGTGGCCGCTGATGGTTTTTTGGAGGGGTGCGTATTAGAGAGAGTTACTTATGTACATTTTGACAGGAATCGGAGCATGTCTTCAGAAAACATATGGTAGAGGGTACCTCTTGTAGGGAGTGGGTTGAATTAAACTATTGAAGTGTATGGGTCCTCTTGGGTTCTTCCTCCCATCCCAGAATTCAGACACTGGAGTGAAGAAGGCACATTTTTGACTGAGGCTTTTCAGGAGCACTTCCTGTCATTACCTCTTTTCTGTGTTGACCCATGGCAGAGAGGCGCCCAGAACATCCCACCCGCCTGTCCACCTGCTGGGACTTGCTTTGCACGTTGGACAATCAGAAAGCGAAAGGCATGTATATCTGGGCAGCGGGTTATTCTTTTTCTCATGAAAACATAAAATTTATACGACGATTAACAAAAAATCAATCCGGATGGAGCATGTCTTCAGAAAACATATGGTGGAGGGTACCTCTTGTAGGGAGTGGGTTGAATAAACTATTGAAGTGTATGGGTCCTCTTGGGTTCCTCCTCCCATCCCAGAATTCAGGCACTGGAGTGAAGAAGGCACATTTTTGACTGAGGCTTTTCGGGAGCACTTCCTGTCATTACCTCCTTTCTCTGTGTTGACCTATGGCAGAGAGAGGAGCCCAGAATATCCCACCTGCCTGTCCACCTGCTGGGGCTTGCTTTGCACATTGGACAGTCAGAAAGTGAAAGACATGTGTATCTGGGCAGCGGGTTATTCTTTTTCTCATGAAAACATAAAATTTATACGACGATTAACAAAAAATCAATCCGGATGAGCTCACAGGCCTATTGTCTCAAACTATGCTCTCTGTGAATTTTACTCCACATCTCTTCACTCCAACTTATTTCCCAGGGTATCTTTACAGAAAACATAATAGTCTCTCACAATATTGTGGGAGATGTTTTCTCCCCTTTGACTTCTGGTAGTCTTTTACCCTTTTCTCCCTGTTCATGTTTTCTGAGGCGAGTCTGGCCAGAAGAGGAGGGGTTGGACAATTACTATTCTGAGGAGCCTTGGAAAGCCCAGTGTGCCTCAGCTAAGGGAATTATTCAGTGCTTCTCCCCCCTTTCCTCCCCACTCTAAAACAGAATGTAATGAAAAGGTGAGAAACACTCAATTTCTATGTAAAGTAATTTTTGTCCCTCATATGGGGAAGGCTGCACCGCTTGCTTTGTGGATTGAGATTGAGCCCTGACTGGCAGGCAGCAGGGGAGCAGGGAGGCGGGACTCCGATGGCCTGGAAAGCAGGGTTCAGGGATGAGCACAGTGTATGTTTTCCGCTGGCTGGTTCCTGCCACTCTGATATTATTGGTTATGGAAAATGAAGTGGCTGTAGCCTCTTTCAATACTTGCCTGGGAGGCCCTTCAATTAGCATATTTATCATCTCTGTCTTACTGTGAATATCAGGTCATTAGTTTGAGAAATCACCCCCGGAGAGTATTATTCCTCAGAGTCCACGCCTTTCTTATGCCTGCTGAGGACACTGAAGTTTCCCAAGGCTTATTTTCCTGAGGACTCTGATGAGCCACCGGACTTGAGGAGACTTCTACTGGGAATTTGAGGAAGCACAGCGCTTTTTGCTTCCTGATCCCAGTTGGCTGATTATAGAATATCCAGAGAGCTCTCCAACTTTTTAAAAAATGACAATTGTTTTAATCATCACATTTTATGAATTGATTCTTTAAATGTAGGAGACAATGTAGATGAAGATATGTTCCTATCCTACATTTCTGTTACTTTTATGTCAGTGACTTTGAATGAAATTGTTTCATACCAGCTGATAGGCTCCACATATGCACATGTGAATAATGGTGGAACCCATTTTGCTGAGATAGGACTTGTTTTCCTCAAGTTATAACTCGTGGCTTGATTTTGCAGCTAACTTTTTTTTTATCGAGTCATGCCCATCTTCTTATGTGGTTTCATATTTGACCACCCCAAATTAACTAATCAAGAAGAGAGGTGAAGATTACAGCTTTCCACTGAGTTTGTCTGTTTTTAGGAAATAAACCTAAGACCTTAGAGTTAAGAATAATAGGCTGTGACTGACTTAAGATGTTCACCATATCAATAGAACTTACATCCTGACTAGGCACTTGGACACCTCGGGTCAGGCTCAAAGCTAGTAATATCCCAGTCCTTTAGAGAAAAAGCAAGGTAATCAGCTGAACAGGTGGTTAAACCCAGTGGGCTGTAGGTGCAGCCAGGATGCCCCTAGGGAAAGAACTGCAGGACCTTTAGGAGGGAGGGCATGCAAAAAGGATCAAGGTGATGGACATTGGTAGGAAGAGGCCACTGTACAATTGCTGGGGCCCAGGTCCTAATCACTGCATCGTTTTTTTTTTTTTCTTTGTCGCCTCAGGACAGTTTGTGCCTGAGGCAGCATGAAATTTGTTTACCCTCATCATCACCTTGAGGTAATGGCTATATATAGCAAGAGCCTGCTTGCTTCAGTGGGAGGCCAGGAGGCAGGGAAGGGAGGAGTAGACACGGCAGTGACATCCCTGCTCCTGCCTGGGAAGAAGTAATAAAAGCATGCGTGGAGCCCCAGCAAAAAAAGACTGCTCAGGAATTGCTGGTACTCTCAGTTAAAGGGGAAGGGAAAAAAAAGCCAACAATCTTGACCGTGCATTTTCAGGATCCCTCTGGGAAAATACACATCATTTGGCCCATCCCCGAACTCTTGAAACACTCCTCAGGGTTTCATTTTCCTCGTAATGGACGCTAATTGTATCTTCAATGTCGCCAATGACTTTGCAGGGTTTTGCTGCGTGTTTAAAACTTTCGGTGTTGGGTAAAAAGTTCTTCCCGACATCTGTTCCCAATGAGTTTATCTGTCATTTTAATTCTTGCTCATTTGCCTTGTCATCTGGCCTGGACTGATATTAGTTGAGATTATTTGTGCTATTTAAGATTTTATGCCCTTCAATTAAATCTTCCCAAAGAGTCTTGGAGTCATATGATTTTTTACCCTAGTCTTTCTTATCATTTTAGGTGAATTTGTAATTGAAATGTTTTAGAGAGAGGATTTCAGGGTGTTTGAGGGGGAAAGAGGCTGGAAAAGAGGTACTCCGTGAGAATGTAATTCTGTACCTAAATAGTAGAGGAACTGGTGGTTTGTAGATGGGTCAGGTCCTCCGCATATCAATAGATGGCATCTGATCAAAATCCCTGCGGCCCTGGGCTAAATGGACACTCAGTGATAGGGCTGCCCATTACACTGTTGAGCTGAGAGCACAGGGCATTTGAAGGAGTGCGCAGCCTCAGGGAGTCCATGAAGTCTGTGCTACTGAAAGTGCCACAGTGGACCAGGGTCCAGGGAGCCTCCCAAAGGAGGCATATCGCCCCAGAGAGGGACCAGGTACGAAGGCCAGGCTGCTGGGATAGGAAGACTCTTACGTGTCAACTATTGCAGACAAAAACTAAACGCTTTCTAAGATAGAACCTGCGAGAGTCCAGAGCTCAGTCTCTAACAGACCCATCCTTATGGCCCAACCCTCTGTCCACAGTTAAATGTCTTCACTCCTTGAGGGCCCATACTTTGATGTTTCATGCTTTATTTATTACTGGGTAATCTTTTATTCTCTTAGTTTATGATGAAAAAATATATGTGCTTTTTCTAGGTCATAACTTCTGTGCAGAAGTACCTAAATGTGGTGAAAACTCAGAGTGTAAAAACTGGAATACAAAAGCTACTTGTGAGTGCAAGAATGGTTACATCTCTGTCCAGGGAGACCCCGCCTACTGTGAAGGTAAGTGAGCTATGTAATGTAGTCACTTGTGAGAAATGTGTTCCTGATAGACATGGTTGAAGATGGAAAGCCAGCACTTGACTTTGGACCTATAGGATCCTGTAAGAAATTCTGTCAATTACCTAGGGTATCTATTCTCCTGTTTTTTTTTCGGCTGCTTAGAAATATATAAAAGCAAGACCTTTGAAGGTGGTCATGAAACACAGCAAAGCAACGAAGGCAGTCGGGCCATATCACATCCCATGTTCTGCTATCACTGTATTTAACAATCACCAGCAAAACCACAAACACATCCTTTTCTGTTATCTTCTTTGAATATGTTTTCATCTCCAAGATCAGTGAAATGTTATGTGGTGGATCCTTTTTTTGAATGATGCTTTTATACTAGTGTATACCCAACTGCCATTTTCTTCCCAAAGTCAGCATTTGTTTCCACTTGTGTTTTAATGACTGATTCATGGATTAATAATTAACAAACTACTAAAAGTCAAGGCGATAGATAGACACATAACTTTAGCACATGGACTGATGCCATTATTATGGGTTAGTGGCCTTACGCATCAGTGACCCCACTTTTCACTCTAGAGAGCAGAACCCCTCTTTCCAAGCTCAGTACTCAACCCTGCTAATGGGGAGCATTGTTCACCCCTGCTCCTTTAATATACCAGAGGAGTAGGGATTAGCTCTGATCCTGGCCTATGTGTATAGCACTCTAATGCCTGAGCCCATTCATTCTCAGGTGTTCACTAGTTCCCTTCCTTAACTTTAGAGAGGTTCTAATAGGAGAAATGATGGCTAGGTTGTTTCTCTGTCCTGGTTGGACCCAATAATTCCTGTAATCTTCACTAACAATATATTGAGCCTTGGTTAATTGATCTTTTAATCAGGAAGTGGATGTTTTGAATGGAATGAATGCTGCACAGTCTTGGTCACTCTCTTTCAAATTGCTGGGTTCTCGCATGGGTCAGGTATTCTCAAGGTAAATACAACTGGTGCCAATGATGGTAAATCCCTTTCCATTCTACTATTTTAAATGGTTGACTCCTGCTTAACTTTTTGGCTTTGACTAAAGACCTTTTCAGTTGTTAGGAAATGTGTCTGATCAGTACAAGGGCTTAGTATGTGGTAGGCAGTGCCTCTGTTTTTCATTTCTCCTGGAAGACTTCATTGCCGCTTTGGTTCTCATTAACAATATTGTTTAACTAATGGATTTTTCCACCTCTCCTTTTCACCTTTTTTCCCTTTTGTTTACCTTTATAGATTTGAAGTTGATTAGGGAGACGTGCTACTTGGGAGGATGAAGTTGTCCCTTTGGTCATGAACTTTTTCTACACCCTTTAATAACATACTACTTATTGTCAGTTTTGGATGACTATTAATTTCAATACTTCACATTGATATTTTTATATCTCTATGCTATTTTCTATTTTTGTCATAAAATTAATATAATTTAAAAAATTAAAAAAATGTAAACACCCTATTCTCCATTCACCATGGAAAAATACTGAGAGCTGGCAGGATTCAGGAGAAAATTGCTGATGCAAATACTTTTTGGGACTCTGATTGTCTTCTCGTTGATACATTTCTTTATTCCATAGAACCAACTCCTGGGAGCCATTTCTGATATTAAACCTGCTCTCCTGTGTGAGGCCTTATTTTATTCATTATGTTGAGTGATTTTAGATATTAATTACTGTTTTTTTTACACACTCATTTTCAGCTTAGTGTATGTGCCCGACTGTGGGCCAGTGGGCATCACCACTTTGGGTAATGGTGATGCGCTTAAGATTCACTCATTTCTCTCTTATCATGGAGACTTCCCACAAGTTCCAGAGGGCTTGTTCATGGAGAGAAGGATAGCACCTAAAAAGAAATGACAAAGTATTAGAGCTCACTTATGGTAGAAGAATGGAACCCAGGGAGTCAAATACTGGGCATCTGGATGGGAGGCACTGAGAACCATGTTGAGTGAATATCAGCATTGAGAGCAATTGCCCTTCTCTCAATTCTGCCATCCTCAGCATGTTGGACTTTGGGCTTATTTTCTTATAGTTGCATGATGGCTGCTATCATAGCCCCACGCACCAGTGTCCAAAACAAGTAAGGAAAGAAGGGCCAGGGTTTCAAACCTTTTCTGTGTAAGGATCTGTTTTTTCATGTTTAAGGAAAGTCCTTCCTAGAAGGTCCCCCATAAGCACTCCCACTAACTTTGTTTTTCACACCTGGCCTTTGTCCTCTCCACCCTTAGACCAATGCTTGAGAAAGGTGGGTGAGATGACTGCCACTGGTTTGGGCCTATTGTGTTCACCCCCTGGAGCTGGAGTAGGGTTTTCCCTTCCCAGAGGCAAAATGATCTTTGTTCTTTACCTGAACCAATTTGGGTTATGGCAACAAAAAGAGTGTAGAAATGGCTTTGGGTGGGCAAAAAGCTATGCTGACTGCATTCTTTTATGATAAAATTTAGTTTATGGCCATTTCCCCAGCTCTGTCCTCAGAATTGCCCTCTGGGATGATCTGATAGACAAGGTGAGAGGTCGCCAAGTACCACTTGGGTACCAGGGACTCAGAGGTCTGAGTTCATTGTCTCACCATAGCCCTAGAGAGAAGTAGATACTTATGAACTGCTTTAGGCAAGTTATTTTTTTACTCTGAGAAAATGGAGTGAAAATGACCCATATTGTACAAGCCATGAGGAACAAGACTGGATTGGAAATTAAAACAAAATGTTATACACATTGTCCAGGCCATCTTGAAAAGCCTATTCAGTCGCTTGGCGGAAAAGGAAGCACAAAAGGCTTTCAGATTTTTTACTTCCTGGGGTAGTAGCAGAGAGATGGTGTTAAGGACTCCTTCTCTGCAGAGATTGCTGTAGGAACTGCCATAGAGAAGATATTAGAACTCCAAGCCAATCAATAGAAGGTAATAAGACCCTTTGTCAGCTCTGATACAATTCATGGGAGGTCATTTCATTTTGCCTGGTCTGACTCAAACAGGAACGGTGCCCATTTGAAAGCTGCTTTTGTTGGATTTTGATGTTTTATGAATCTGGTATGCTGAGGCTTTTTACCTTTCTGAAGACATTTTCAATGGGTTGGTTTTACATCATTTCAGATGCATTAGCTTAAATTACAGGTAGTGTCTGAGCAAAGTATAGCAATTGAGGCCTACTTAAGCTCTTATTTTTTGAATGTGGAGTCTACATAAATAGAGTGTCATAAACATTTTTCTTCCTGAAGTAAAAAGTTATTTAGAAGAATAAAGAACAGTGTGACATCATATATACTATGCAATCTGCCAGGCATGGAAAGTACAACAATTAGCTCTAAATGATATACTTTATACTTGCAGAGTGCTCTGAACTTTTCAAGCTCCTTTTATAGATAGTGTGCTCTTTGGCCTCTTGATAAACCTGTGATGAAAGTGGCATATTAATGCCATATTAATTGGCCATATTAATGCCATTTTATGGGTATGGACACTAAGACTAAGAGAAATGAAGAAAGATAATACTCAACTCATTTATGACTAGTGTTAGGCCCTACCTTCCCATCCTACCCTGTTCCAATGTTGTATTGTTCCTCTTGATCCAATGAAATGTGAGTGGACATGAAATGTACTATTTCAGAGTAGAAGCTTTAACAGCTATCACAGGGTTCCACCTCATTCTCTTTTCTTTCTAAAGAAACCAGCAATGCTACAGAGCAGAGCTGGGCTTCCAGAATAAAGATGATATGGAACAGTGTGACAACTGTCTGGTGATGGACATGTGGCATGAGTAGAAAAAAATTGTGTAAATCACTGAAATTTTGGAGAGTGCCATTCCTGTTACCTTTGCATAACTTAGTCTGAGCCTATGTATACCTGCCTGAATTAATCATTGTGGTTTCAGAAAAATACCTTTAGTTCAGTGCTCATGACTGAAAGGAGTTTTTTTTATAGAGCAAGTATCAAGAATTCCTAGAAAAAGTACAGATTGTGTGGATCATTAATAGTCCACAGTGGTCCTGGTACCAGGCAATAGATATTTTGCAGATCACAAATTGTAAATTAGTGTTTTTTTATAGTTAATGCCAATTGGATTTCCTAGTTAAGGTGATAATGAGAAATGCATGTCAAAAACTTAGCTCACTGTATGGTATTCAATAAATATTTAGTGGATCACAGCAGTTATCCTCCTCCTCATTATCATCAACTTGCTTCATTAATGTATGTGAGGATCTTTCTTGGAATTGGAAGAGTGTGTACTCATTGAGGCCAGCACTATGAGAAAGTGGGTTTCCCACATCTACATCTTTTGGGAGAATTGGCAGGTAGCAGGAGAAATTGTTCTTAGATGGGAGGACCAGGTTTCATCATCCCTGCCAGGAGCATATTGTTGGCTGTGAGGTATCAAACATCATAATTTATAAGGGGAAGTTCTTTCTTCCTTGAAAAACCACTCTTGGAGCTGTATTCAAGGAAAAACACAAGTGAAAAGCTGTGTTGTGGAACAAAGTCACCTGTATTGGTACGAATTTAATAATTTCATGTAACAAAGCTACTGAAATGTCTAAGACACCACAACTGATTAGCAAGGTGATTTATAACTTCTTTTACGGAGTGGAGATGATGACAAAGGGTCTGACTCTGTGAGTGTTAAGAGGCTGGGAAAGTGGCAGAGAGGTCAGAGGTTCAAAGAGAAAGCAGATGCAGAATAGCTCAGGGGTAGATATTTATTGGATGGAAAGGCTAGCATGAGTGTACTTCCAAAGAAACAAGACTATAAATTCCTGATTAAGAGAATGCGTGGGAAAATGGCTATTGTGCTTAATTATGCTTCTAATTATCCAAAGATTAATCAGGTAACTGTAGTTGTTTTGCATTTTTACAAAACACATGAACCTTGTGATCCGTGTAACCTGATTTATGCTCATATCTGGGTGTCATCTCCTGAAGTCCTGCTTTGGACAGCACAGGCATCAAAAGCCTCCTTCACTATTCATGTTAGTAAAACCTTAACT